TCCTTAAGGTCTGAGGAAACCTCAAGGAGCGACTATAAATTTGGCCCTTAACACGTTGAGTACCAACAATGCTTTAAGCAATTCCATACTGGTGTACCGCAGTGGATAACTTGCAAACGGATTGACATATTAATATGAAACCAAGACAGAAATGACTAATAGGAGTTCTTAATATGACTTTGACAGCTCTGACCTTGAGCCACTATAGTGGCCACTGGTCTATTTTGAGAAAATGTAAGCCTAATGTACCAATATGGCCACTATAATGGCCATGAATAAACTAAGACTTTTCGAAAAAAAATATATTTTTAAGGAAATATAAAGAAAACTTTAAACAAAAATCATATTTTTAGCTTTATTTTGTGTGCCATATCTCAAAACACGGATCAATGCATGAATCTGGACTACCATCGCACTTTGGGGATTGGTATCTGGTCCTTTTTCTCATGTTATTTCTGGAACCTTGTTGGCATATTAGTTGGCACCGTTTGGAGGGCGTTGAATTTTGTGTTTTTTTCGAGATTGGTTCTAGCGTTGTTCTAGGTAATGAAACGAATTCGGATCAGGATGCATTGCAGTTTTTTCAGTTTTTCCGTATTTCTATTTACTTCAAATATTTCAATAATTGCTCAGATAATCCATTTTTCTGAAGGTACCTATGTTAAGAAATTTGCCACTCCAGAATGCACAGAAGCTGCCTAAATCGAACAAGACACTTATTTACCACAAGTGAAAATAAACGACTAATCCAGGTACTACATGGCCAATATAGTGGCCATGGTGGGTGGGGGCATTTTGCCAACCCTCTCTGTGTACCACACAACTAAATAAAACCTTCTATTTTGTACCGTGGCAATTCAATACTCGTTTAAAATACTTCAAAATACCGGCCACTATTGTGGCCGCGGTACATTTTTACAACATTTTGTGGCCATTATAGTGGCCAGTCGTATTCAACGTGTTAATCCGGTTCATGCAGATAAATCCACAGGACGATTATTTATCCATTTATTACCACTATTTGCACTGACAGCTAGGGAATTTTCCACTGAGATAAAAACTTGAAAACGCAATGATATACAGCGGCGCGTTGGAGCCCGGCGAGAGTGAGAGAGATAGAGCCAAAAACAAGCGTAGGAGAGAATTTTGCTCATCCGAGGTGACTTGCAACATTTAGGGGTTAATTACATGAATTGTAATCAATAATATAGACCATGTCAGGCCTTGAGACACAGAGAGTGGTATTTTACTATAAATCGCGCGTACTAACGGGGGATTTTGGGGGTTTTGCTCCTGGAGAGCATTCAAAGGGCGCGAGGGTGCGAACTCTTCGCTTGTTCTAATAGTACTGAAGAATGTGCGTCGACTAGCTCTGCCAGGAAGCAGGTCGCAAAAAAACTAGAAAACAATGTGGCGGCTGATCAATCATAGCAGCGAGAAAGGTCGACTGCCTTATAAGGTAATGAAGAAACCTGTAATTTTACCGGTTCAAAGGGTTGTTGTTGCCGGTTTTACAGGATAAATAATCCAGCAATAGCATCTATTTTTAGAATATTATTTTTATGGTAAATAATAGAGATCGAGATATATCAAATTAGAAATAATAAAATTTAAACTTTTTATGGGTTATTTCTGCAACAAAAAAAGGAAACTGGTTCTCTAATCAAACACCATATTTATTACTGTACTGACTGTAACACTGTAACATTTAAAATTTTTGCGTCTCATCACATTAAAATAGTCGCGCATAAGACACAAGAGCTTGGTGGGAGCCCCAAAACAATTCTAAAAGGTTAAGGCAAGGAGTGTTGCGTTGCCAAATTGACGTCAAAGTATATTATTTTGTTTGGGTTAGATTTTTCTAACAGGTGCGGACAATGTTTATTGTTTAACAAGTGACGAAAACAGCAGTTTTTAAAATATGTAGGTAATGTTTCCAAGTTACAAAAAATGATTTTTGACGAGAATTGTTTATTTTTCAATGGTCAGAAAAAACTTTTTGCAGATGCTTGTTTGTTTGTGCGAAGAAAGATTTAGATTTTATTGAAATTTTCGACATTTTTATACAACAATCGTAAACAGGATTGCTCATCCTAATAAGGCCTACAGCTGCTTATAGTGATGACGTCACCCGCAGACCTCGATGGAAGGCTTGCAATTCAGGCTGTGCTCGTTATTTGATTTTTTCGTCGATTTTAAATGTAGATTTTACCAAGATTTTAACGTTCAGGAATTCATTTTTCTGTGTGCTTTGAACTCGAGTAATGCATTTTACGCGCTCTCGCCCACTCTAAATTATGTCGGAATGCCTTGACGCTATAAGACATAACAGCTATGACGTAATTTCCGGGCGGTAAATTATAGGGTTTAAAATAAGTACAAAGTTGTTTATTTTCTTTAGGTATATTTTTGTTTTCTGAAATCAAAGAATCATCAACTACTATTTATTTTGTTATGGAGATTAATAAAAAAAATATTTCAAAAAATTGTCCACAACCCTATTGGGAAAGCCACCTCTCACTTCTCTCTTCAGCCTTAGCGTTGTGCAGCGTTGTTATCTCTAGTTGGGAAAGCAAAGCTCCTCTGGACAAGGCATAGGAGTCACTAGTTGAAGTCGCGTAGTGAATAAACCGACAGTCCCCCAAGCAGCATTGACGTGTGGCCTAGGACCCTAGCGTTAGATGAATCATGCATCCTATAAAGTAAGAATATATGTAAGGGACATATTTTAGCAAATTATCTACTTTTTATACTAGGTACTTGAGCGAGTTTCTCTCCATTAACCCCCAAAGCTACAACCCCCATGTCACCCCTGTGACACAGGCGGTTGTGACATTATTTTTGGTTTTTGTTACTGTTACTCAGAGCTGTCAAAGATAGGTACTTTTGAAAAGTATCTAGTTACAAGATAAGTTACTTTTGGAAAAAGTATCTGAAGTTACTTCGGGTATTTAGTTACTCATTGAAAAAAGAATCTTAAATACGTATCTAAGTTACTTTTTTAGTTACCTACTTAATAAGATAGGTAAGTACCTACTTATTAAGATACTTTATTATTATTTCCAAATAGCAGGCGGAAAAACCGATTAAGCTATGGCTGTTTATTTGTTCCACAGGTTTCGGGTTCAATTTGAAAATTTTAAAACAAAAATTGTTATGGTTCAAAAATCCCAAATTCGAGAAAGGTCAAAATCACAAGACACTAGAAAGTTATCACAGTTATACAATCACAAATCATAGTTAAATTTTTATAGAATAGGTATAATGGACAAATCGCGACGTGAAAACAAAACACCTAAATTTTTAAGATATGGGCTTATGTTATGTCTTACCGGTTTAAGGTCTTACCTTCGTTCTCAGGGAAATGCTGCTGCCCTGTTACGAGAATAAGGGCTCAGAATAAAAATGGCTCGAAAAGCATTTGTCAAATACTGATCAATGCTTACAAACAGAAATCTAAACCTCCACATTCCACATCAGAATAAGGTTTAGGTATGAAATTCTATATGTGTGGTCAGTATTTTATACGGAGCAGAAACTTGGACCTTGAAAGCTCAAATGATCGAAAAACTTCAGGAATTTGAGATTTGGCTTTATAGACACATCCTGAAAATACCTTACTGACAGAATCACTAACCACGAAAAACTAAGACGCAATGGTTAGAAAAAAAAATTATTGACACTTATTAAGATAAGAAAAACATCTTACATAGGAGACATCTTACGCAACGATAAATTCCTACTTCTATACAAAACATAATGCAGGGTAGAGTAAATGGGTCAGGGGAAGAAAGGTATTGGCAGGAAGAAAAAATCCTGGCTCCGAAACGTAAGGAAATTGGCAAATCTCACCGTCGAACAACTGTTTCATGTTGCAAGAGACAGAGAAGCATTCAGAAACGTGATCTCTTTCAATGAGAAGACGGCATGAGAAGAAGAAAGGTAATTCTTTGATAATGTGCTGATGCTGATATCCTCTAGTAGCTAGTTAAAATTTAAGTTCCGTCGAACCAAAATGAGGCCTTCCTAAAGTTTTTAATTAATAAATGGTACCCATAGATATTAGGTATAGATTATTGGTTCAGTCATCCAACATTATTTTAAGGTTTTGATAAAAATGATTCAACACCCTAAAAAACAATATGGAATTGGTGAGAAAAAACTTCCACATTTTTCTCCTGGGAAGAAATACTTGCTAACTGAAATATAATATTTAAACCGCCGTAACTATCTTAATATGTATTATAAAGCCAATAATAAGAATACTTAATTAAGGTAGATATAGGTACCTATAAGAGAATGCCAATTAAGATAAAAAGTGGGACACGTTTAATGGAATTTCACATAGAACCTGTCCAATGACGTCAATGGGAAACCCATGCAGAGCATGAGAAATAGAATAATCGGCTCATAGGCTTGACTTGGTAATAAACTGCGATGGCAGACCATGAATCAATTATCATTATTTTATCCCCTTGAAACTATCCAGTGAATGTTTGGAGCCGCCGATAAATCCAATACATGAAAAAATTGTTCAATTCTGGATGTAGTTATTCTATCAATGGACCTTATTTGCAGGATTTTAAATTCAAGTACCTAACAAATAGTGTATTTTGAAATACAGTATAAAATAAAGCAGGTTTTATACTAAAATTGTATCAAGATAAACTAAAAATGGTATAATTTTTTTTTGCCCAATACTCATTCTATCAGTTATTACACGATTACTAACCATGACATGAGTGCTTTTTCAACTTTTCACACTGATCAATGCTCTTGATAATTATTATCACCCTAACGGAATAAATTAAATCCAAAGTGGTTCTTTCACTCCTGATGTCTTCTTCAATCAAGCAATATATTTTGCTTTATTTTTGCTTCCATCGCGACTTAAAACCAGTACCTACCTATATAAATAAGACCACGGCCACAAAGGCCTTAAAGTAAAGTATAGGTATTCAGCATAACCAGTCAAGAGTCAAGACATCTTTTAATTTACAATGCGGTTTGTTTCGATTATATTTTTATCAGTACTACTCAGTTTGGGGAACTGTGCAAAATACACGACAAAATACGATTCGATCGATTTGGATTCCATCATCAAAAACGACAGATTGATGAAAAACTATGTGGACTGTATGATGGAAAGGAAAAAGTGTAGTAGGGATGCCGCAGAATTGAAAAGTAAGATTTCGGTTTATTCTAGTTAGCTTTTTTGGCTTTTTCATTGTCCAGTTTAAAATCCCTATATTTCCACACACAGTTTTCGACGTTAATCACACAAGTTTTTTTTGTTATCAGCTATTTATTTGCCTACAGACTTTGAACGTTTTTACTTTATTACTGTAGTTCGCGTTACACTTTATCTAATTTTGGTAGTTAGATCTTCTAGTGATCATTTTACTAGTGGTTCTCGTTTCTGTCTTGAGGTTCTTCCTACTGCTCTAAATTATTGAACTATAATATTGGACATAATTTATCTCATCTCCACTATAGTTAGGTGTGTCTAGATATAATACATAACTATAATCTATAATTTAAAAAAAGTATATATTAATAGCTATGTCGAGGCATCTATTTAGTTACTTACGGGCATCCTTATTTCTCGAGTTAATCATTATTATTTCCAGTTCCAGTTTGACTTTCACCATCCAGCGTCATTTTCTAAGTCTATTTACAACCTTGTGTCTTGTCAAAAATTCAACTTTTTCATTTTCTCGCATTTTTTCATGTTTCCTTTTCTCTACTCCTACTAAATTTTGGTTGGAAATTCCTATACGTTCTTCTAGTCCTTTACTATAGTTCAAATTTTTCAGAATGTAAGATTGGATCTTTGATCTCTCTTCCAATACAATTCTTCAATTCAGAAAGTATAACTGGTCCCAATCATTGTATAATTTAATTTAAATCAATCCTGTTAATTCTACTGGTAAAACTTTATTCGCGTAGACACTCGATTTCCTTCTAAACATGAGAAAACAAGATAATTGTGTTTTATCTATTTTCCAAGCAGTAAAATAATATAACTAATCTATTCTAATTTCCTTCAGAACATCTTCCGGATGCCTTGCAGAACAACTGTGCCAGTTGTAGCGAAATACAAAGGATCGGTAGCAGAAAAGTCTTGACTCACATAATCCAAAACAAAAGGGACTGGTTCCTTGAGGTTGAAGCAAAGTACGATCCCAACCACGTCTTCAGAAGACTTTACCAGGAAGAGTTGCAACGTAAAGGAGTTGCATTTTAAATATATTTTTATTTGTAACGAACATTAATTAGGAGATGATACACCACCTGAATAAAAATACGCTAGTAATTTAGTTCTAATTATGTGGAAAACTATACTTTTCAAAGAATTAAAAAATAAATTTTGGTTCTATGCAATACATAAGTATATGATCTTTTTATTTGTTAAAGTTGGACAAATCAATAAAGAAGGATATGAGGTCCAACCAACATAAAGTCTTTCCACATTAGGTATGTAGTAGGTACACCCGTTCCATTTTTTTTTTTGCATCTGCTCCTACTTTTAGCATCAATTTACCTACATATTTCAGTAATCATTTCGAAGTAGATAGGTTGCGACCATGATACTTTTGCCTCAGGTTCATTCATTATTCTTGAAACTTGTTTTTTCAACTTTAAATAACTAATTGGAAACAATTCTGAAAAAGTCATATAAGTAGGTTCTTTGTAACCGCCAAGCAATTATAATTTATATTCAATCAATTAACTAAAACTTACATAAATTAAGTAGGTAATCCGGAAGCTCAAATTTTCTTTGTATTTTTGAAAAATTTAAATAATGAATCCCATTAATAGGTCTTGATTCCTACATTGTATTAAATTGAATACATATCAATTTCACATAAGAATTCAACTGAAGATTTGCCTACCCTACCCTCGGAGTCTCAGGTCTCCATGATGTGATGTAAAATGTAATGTTTTGACCCAGTAAAGTTTGTAAGTCTCATTCTTATTTAACTTCTATCATTTCTGAGGATTGAAATCTTCCTCTCGGATTCGAAGAGCACTTCTGAATCCGATTCCCAAAGCTAAATAGTGATAGATGCATGGAATATTGTCAAAAGGTGATTCTTTCATTGTTTTGTTCAGTCTTCCGAATGAATGGTTTCTCAAGATCTTCAAATGTTTGTCCACATGTCTGCTAAGGTACATTTTTGAAAGAGACTCACGCCATACTCTCGCAACCCAATCCTTTGATGGCGGTTGTGAGAGTACCTATAGTTTTGTTGTAATAGATTTTCTCGATTTTGGTGTATAGAATATCATATTCTCGAATGAGCCTCATTCTTCAACGATTTTTAGTGACATTTAGTTTTCAAAGTACCTAAGAATTGGAATTCCTTCAGAATTTTTAAACATTCTAAAATAATAAAATCCACCTGTCAGTAGCTTGGTAAGGTTAACTAAGTGTTATCAACTGACATATCCATAACTATTAACTAGCGACCACAGAAAAAAAAATATATAAATAAAATCCAAAATCGAGAAAATAGTATAAAACTCACGTTGCGGAAGGCTATGTCTATGCGGTAGATCATCAAAATGGAGTAAAATGTAGCAAATTGGGTTAAAAGCAGGAAACTTATGTCAGAGTTGTTTTTTAGACTATTTTATAAAGTGATTTGACCCGCAGCACTTCAAATTTCATCCCTTAGGAGGGTGGTTTAACCACCTATTTTATTTCTAAAGAGTTAAAATTACTAAAAACGTCTATGTCATAAGATTATTTCAATATTCATTTTAAATAAATTCGAGTAGGTATGAGGAATTAAAAAAAAGTCTCATCTTCATATAGGACCCAACGGTAGGTCATATCTGACATAAGTGTCAAAAATATATTATTTTTTTATATTCACACCTATCTAAACAAAAATAATAGCGGTTTACATAAAATTTGGCATGAGAAATGCAAAATAGCTATTTATGTACCAAGGGGATTATGTAGATTATAATGCCCGAAGGCGAAACTAGCCCAAGGGCCTCTGGCCCGAGGGATATATTTCGCCTGAAGGTGTATCAAACTATCGATAATTATTATCGATAGTTTCCCACCTCTAATGTGCGACGTCATAAAGTTATATGATTTATGACGTCATAGGCACATTTCAGAGCGTTGTATCTCCGTCAACTATTGACTAAGAAGAAAAAAAAAATACACGTGTTGACTTATTTTTTTATCGACTAACGATTAACGAAATCAGCGATAAAAAAATGCATGCAAGTACCGTATTCTTGTGGGATAGATCTGAAGCGTAAATCTTGGGTAAGTTTGGGGTTAGTTTAAAGCAATTGTTCTCGGGGAGGCGTTACAACGCACGTAGCAAGAAAAACATAAAACATTGGATTTCATTCGTGCTTGAAAAGTTTTTCGAAAATATAGAGATTTTTGAATCATGACCAAAAAATATCTGAAAGTTGGGCCTCAAGGACGCCTTACCCTTACACCTTGCACTAGCAATTATTCTAGAAGTTTTGAACAGATTTTCTAATCTCAGCCCTATTCCACCACATTCTCTTATCCACTGTTCGTACGGACTTTGACCCCATTTTATCAGACATTGATGCTACATAAAATGAAAGTGGTGTTACAGATATTATAACTTATTTATTTTTGAAACCTTTATCACCCTGTATCTCAAAAGTTAAGACATGATAAGGTTTAGATCATACGTTCGCGGCAGTTTGTCGTGGGACTGTGGGACACTCTGTATTAGGGTCTGTTCCAAAACGTGAAAATCCTTCCTAAAGTCTGTTTTTTTTAAAAGATCATTCCCCAAGTCAAAAGTTTAGTAACTATGTTGGCAACACAAGCCTTTTCTACATAAAAAATTTGAACGCATTGACAATTCCACATTGTATTGCCAACATATCGTCGGCATCATATGAAAATTGCGTAAATTAATGGTTTATCTGTCAAGATTACTGATCGGTTAATCTCTTAAAATTGGCTTATGAATCGTAACTAACGCATTTTTACTGCGCATTCCTCATCCTATTAAGGCATGCGTTCGCCAATCTCGATTCGGCAGCGGGTCTGCTTTGAACTTCACCAGTTACAATGGCTGGTAGTGGTGACGTCACTCGCAGACCTTGATGGATTGTTTGCGAGAGAGCGGCCCTGCGTTTTTATTCTCATCAAATTTTACCGATGGATCCACCATTCTATGCCGGTCATTGTCATTTTCCATTCACTAAACAAAGATAGCTAACTCATCGGTGAAGTCACCGATTAGAATAAAAACGAGGGGCGGTTTTTGACCACTGGAACTACTTTTGACGGTTTGAAACAGACTTAAAAGGCGCTTTCTTTTATTCACCGATGAATCCATCGATGACCTGTCTATCTTTGTCTACACCATTTCCAAATCCAAGCGGCAGTAAATGCAGTGCCGGCCTGAGGTTACTTTTAGGATGGAGCGAGATCCTACTTTGGCGCCCCTATTTTAAATGTGAACCGTATACTCTATTCACCGATATAGGAAATGTCTTAACATTCAATAAATTATTTGCCTCATTTACTGTCTTCGGCCACCCCTTATACTGAAGAAAGCAAAGGGAATTGTTACCTATGTCATTTGGTAAAAAAAGTGGGTTGCCAATTTTAAATAAGAAAGCAGAGCATTGGGCTAGTACAACTTACCCATCTCCCTATCTACCTCTAAGATCTTCCTCTTGCTGAGTTTCAAGCTCCTGTTTATGACTATTAAATAGTAATAAAATGCAAATGAATTCCTTAAATGTATGAATGAAGTATATGCTCGAGCATGGATTTTGATCATTGTTATGGTGGATCATCCCTTCATGAAACTGTAGCAAAACGCCCCAAGTACACTATGTAAATTAGTTAGATGGTAAATGGCGAGCGGTATATTGATGGTGTTTATATACTTGGAGCTTGCTATCTAAAATCTGTGGAAGAGGGTCTATTTGCAAGAGAGAGAAACAAACTAATGAGGTGTACTAAATTATATTTTATTTCACATAAAACCCAAAAATCAGCCAAATATCTTCCAATACTCTACATCCTTCTTTATTTCTGTAAAATCAATACTTCACATTCGTTCTATATTGTTATTTTACGGAACACTGAAATATCCCTACTAAATAAGAAACGCCCTATTCATACTAATTCTCATAAATTATAATTTAACTCATTTTACTACGTCCGAATCATTCCTAATAACTATCCTTTACCTAATCAAATAATTCTTTAAAATCTCGAAGTCCTTTATTTATGAATACCCAAAATAATTACCTATTTGTTTATCAACTAATTTATTCTCAAAAATCTTACAATGACTTCTACTTGAAACATAAAATTCCTAATTCAAAATTCATTTCATGAACAATAAATTCTTCTAACAACTTTCCCATATTCTAAGACAATTCTATTTCATGAACTTCAAGTTTCTTTCCAAAATTTTCTATTTCCTTCAATAGTTTATTTAATCAGAACAATTTTAATATAAGTTTCCTTTTAACAAGTTTCCAATATTTTAAGAAAACAATTCTATTTTATGTCATCAAATTTCTTTTCAAAATTTCCTATTGCAGTTAATAGTTTATCAGAACAAATTCTATTTTCGGATTCCTATGCCTAGCTAATAAATTCAACTGTTTAATTCATAATTCCAACTCAAAATTGTATATTGTTAAATGCATTATAAGTACCTTCTCTTCATATTTTTGTTGCACATTTAAATGTCATTATATCTGAAGGTAATTAAGTTATGCGGTAATGTTTCCTTTATAAAACACTCAAGTTATTAAGTTTATTGTAATAAAGTTCCACCGTGATTAAAATCAAAAGTTTTCTAGTAAAATTCACACAAAGTCATGTTTATCAAAAATAAATCTTGTCACGATAGAGTACTTACATTTTGTCCATAAAACACACGTAAAATTACTTAATTAATTACTCAAAATATTTAGCTAGCACGCACATAAATTGTTGAACGAATTTCAAATGTTATTACTTTCACGATTTTCCGTAAATTTTCTAAGTTAAATTATACCCGAGGCCAAACGCCATAAAGGTAACTTATCGCGAAACTGGACAGACTTTAACTCACATGGACGACTCAACTGTTTACTGGCAACTGTTCTCTCCTCCTTTAAAACACGCTATTTATATAAAACCCGATGCTCCTAAATCACTTCGTCCATGACAATTAAGATGATGCAATTTCCTTGGAATTTTATATTATTTTTAGTCTAAAA